CAGGAATCCTGCCCGCTTGATCCCACCCTCCCTTTTTTTTAAGCTTCAGATTTGCTTGTTTAAAGATCACACACTTTCTGAAATGGTGGGAAGGCAATGGCAAACATATGTTTCATAGAGGCTTAACTGTCTTTAGAGCAAGATGTCGAGCAGTCACTTTCTAGGAAGTGATTTTTCCCTGCAGTGTTTATAGGCCTGACTGCCCCAGTATTGTAATGGCCATGAAAAAGTGAGAGGGTGATATGCCTTCAGGTATGAACAGCATCGGAAACACAGCCTTTTCCCTTGCTGCCCTGCATGGCAGGTCCTAGGGTGGCGGTGCTGGGGAAAGGAAGGGGAACCTACCACTTCAAAAGGGTGCCAAAGGGGGTGTTTTGATGCCAAAGCAAAGCACTGGGGCTTGCTGGACCTGGGTGTGATCCCTGGTGATGCCTGGGCAGCCTCAGGCCAGTCATCCCCTGTCTTCCTCCTGGTCTCTTGAGATCATGGAGTTCATTATGTGTATTCCCTTTGTACAGTGTTTGGAGATACCCGAGAGGGGATGGGCTGCTCCAAGTGTTTTGGAGCCAGGAGGGATCTCTGCTGCAGTGCAGGACTTCTGGTGTGCACCCCATGCCACGAACTTGGGCCCCAGAGGCTCCAGCGCCACCACATGTGCTGCTGTCCCCTCTCCCTGCTCTGTCACACAGATCCCTCGTTGCCTCTGTGCAGCAGCTAAGCCACCCCTGTAGCCTCCCAGTGAGGTTAAAGCTCTGTCGGAGGGGGAAGCTTTGCTCTGTTGGATCCCCTTCCATGTGGGGAATCACGCTCACCGACTTTCTTTGCTTCTCCAGATCACCAGCGCGGCAGAGACAGAGGCAGTCACTTCCCAGAAGCTGGTGAAGGGACACGCGTACTCGGTCACCGGAGCAGAGGAGGTAGGTACGCTTCCCCAAAGGGGTGAAAGGCAGCAAGCTTTGTGTGTAGCCATCCCCAGGCTGCGGCAATCACAACTTCATCTTCAACTTGGCAAATTCCTCAGTGTCATCCGTTTTGTTGAATCAGGTTTTGAGTCCCTTCTTTCCGAAGAAATATTGAATTAGTTGGCATGTTTCGGATAATTTCTTGGGGGTTTGACCGAAAAAAAACCCAACCCCTTTTTATCCATAAGTGCTGCTTTTTCCCAATGAGGGGTGCGGAGAGAAGCCCTGTGCAGAGGGCACACTACCCTCTGCTGGTCACCAGGCCCTTCAACACATGTCTCTCTAGCAGGCAGCATTGTACCTTAAATGCACAGCAACATGTGCAAGAGATGTGTGCCAGGCCAAAAAAAAAAAACAACCAAAAATATTGTCCCTTAAATGCCTGCTGAATAGCGCCTTTGGGCCGGGCACGGTGTTGGAACGTAAGGTGCCTGTCCAAGAGCAGGTGACTGGCGAAGGTAAGGCCAGTGCAAACAAAAGAAGCAGATCATGGCGTCCTTCCAGGTGTGTAATGGACTTTCTGCTGCTTCACCAATAATTGTTTCTGAAATACCTCTGAAACTTCAGAGTGACAGGTAGAGAGCCGTTGCCATGCTGCACTGAGGTGGACACTGCTAATGGGCAGGTCTATCTGTGTGCGTTTGGTCCTCCTCTCACAGCAAAAGCAGCGAAGAGGGAGTTTGTTGACCTTAATTTGCAAACAGGCATGACTTAGCCAGGCTTTTCCGTTGGACGTACGTACAGGCTTTGTAAGGATAGTTCATCTTGGGCGCTGGAGAATCATTTCTGTACTGTGTGCTGCTGATGCTCTGTGCAGTTTTCTTGGCTTCAGGCTCTAGAGGTGCGCCAGCTCCTTCCTCAGCTTAATGCCCTGTGTTCCCCATAAATACCGCGTGTTCCCACTGAAACTCTGTACAGCTTTGCTGGGGCTGGCCTCTGTGCACACAGAGATTGGCAGATAACGAGCCAGGGCCTCGGCACGGTGGGAGGAGGTGCTGTCATGGCAGGGCTGATGCCGCTGCACTGAGGAGCATTTGTGTGGTCAAAGGGGCTGTGGCCAGACTGAGTATCCCATCTCTTTTAATGTGTGTGGTTGAGATTATATATAGAGAGGGAGAAGAAATTAATTTGAACGTGAAAGGGCAGTTTATATATAGATGAAAAATTAGGAAAATATCCCCTTGTACCTGCTTTTTGGAAGTCCTGTAGCACCTTTACATTCCCTTTGCTTGAAATGCTATCAGAGGTAACTTTTTTTAGCAGCACAAAACAGACATTTTGGTTACCATGAGCTTTGATTGTACAAAAACCTTCTCTAGACAAGCTTGGGTGTGCAGAGCTCATTCAAAATAAGTTTGACTTCATGTCTTTTGGACCAGATAAGTGTGTATTTGTGCGTATACACTTTAGTGTTTGTGAAACACTGAGGTACTCTGTCATGTCCTTTAATTCCCATAGAAAAGGTGGAAGGGAGCTCAGTGCTGAGTCCCTGGGTAACTCTCCATACACTTCTGATCCCACCAGGTGAACTTCCGAGGAACGCTGCAGAAGCTGATCAGAATCCGAAATCCCTGGGGGGAAGTGGAGTGGACCGGAAAGTGGAACGACAAGTGAGTCGTTGGCTTGCGTGTTGCCTGTAGGCTTTTACTGCAGGGGTATGATTGTGTTTCTGCTGTCGTCTCTCTTTTCCCTACCTCAAAGTCCTCTCTAAGCCACATCTGGATGTGCTCTGAGCTGTTTAAAAGAAGCATCCCACCACTGTCATCTCCCACGTAGGCGCCACAGCATGTGGTGCCCTACATACAAGCAAACACCTGCCCTCATGTAAGGTGCAGTGATTTGGTTGATGGTTCCTACAAGCCTCTCTGTAGTTTCTGCTTCTTTAACAGCCCACGTTCATTGGTGAGCTTCTGAAAACATACTTTCTAAAAGGGCTTTAAAAATCTGTTTCTGTTGTTAGCAACAAAAGCTGGATTTTACTCACTTCTGTGGCTGGGCAGTATTTATTCTGGGTCTTGCTTTTTCTAAAATAAAGCTCCGTCTCAGCCAAGGTATTAGCACTTTCTGCAAATAAAACTCTGTTTCTGATCCTTACTTTGGATATTTACAAAGTGAGGTACTGAATATCCCAGGTCCCTGTATTTTAATCCTGCTATGGTCTGAGAGCCCTGGAACTGCTATCAGCTAGATACTGTGGACTATTGCAATTGCATGGAGCTGTAAGAAAGTAAAATTGTTGTGCCAGAACAGCTACATTAGGGTTTAACCTTTACCATACCCTGTAGCTGATGTGGGGTTGTGTTTCAGCTGCCCGAACTGGAGTGGCATTGACCCTGAGGTGCGGGAGCGGCTGACCAGGAGGCATGAAGATGGGGAATTTTGGTAAGTACCGCTGGGTTTCCATTCAGGCTGAAGGGAATGTCTTCTCTGCTTTTTTTTCCCACACAAAGTGATCTCTCCCAGTACACTGGTACAGTGTCCAGGGTAAGTGAACAAATTCACCCCAAATCCTAGCGCTAAATTGCAGCAGGAAGGAGGGAGGATAGACAAGGTGGTTGTTTAGAAAACCTGTCCATTCTAAGGAGACATTGTCTGTGGCATTGCCTCCCACAGGATGGCGTTCAACGACTTCTTGAGGCATTACTCCCGCCTGGAGATCTGCAACCTGACTCCAGACACCCTGGCAAGTGACAGGTACAAGAAGTGGAGCCTGCTGAAGCTGGATGGGAACTGGAGGCGAGGAGCCACTGCAGGGGGCTGCAGGAATTACCCAAGTAAGAGCATGCAGACACCACTCTGATGGAGGAACCCTTTATACTCGTCCACTTGTACTTTCTCTACGAGCTTTTCCTGGGAGCTGGTTAGGGGTGGCTTGTGGAGGAGGAGGAGGAGGATGTACCTGGGATATCTGGCACTGAGGTCCAAAAAGTGCAAGGGTTTGGGAAATGTGGTTCCCCAGTGAGGGTCTAGTTGTGGTTGTAGGGGCTGGGGTGGGAGTGATAGATTTCCTTCTCACAGCTCATTTTAGAAATCAGTCTTGCATCTGTCCCAGCTGACATGTATATATCGGTATATATCTCTGAGTTTGCATAAATCCAATTCCCAGACACTTTCTGGACGAATCCACAGTATTTAATCAAGCTGGAGGAAGAAGATGAGGATCCTGATGATCCTGAGGGGGGCTGCACTTTCCTCATTGGCCTCATTCAGAAGCATCGGCGGAAGCAGAGGAAGATGGGAGAGGACATGCACACCATCGGCTTTGCGATTTATGAGGCAAGTAAGGCAGTAGAGGTGCATGGGAGGAAAAGGAAAGCTCACCCTATAAATGGGCTAGGGCAGTCCTCAGACTGGGCTTTCTATCAAAACTCAGCTGGGTTGAGTCGGACACCAGCCTGCAGCAAGGAAAATTCCACTTAGATGTTTAGAAAGCTACCCTCCACCGAAACAGCAGTCAAACACAGGGATGGGTACCCAGAGAGATGATGGAATCTGCGTTCCTGGAAATGTTCAGACCTAGTCTGGGCAAGGTCCTGAGCAACATCCTTAACTTTGATGTTGGCCTTGCTTTGAGTAGGGGCTGCGACCAGATGACCTACAGAGGCCCCTTCCCACCTGCAATATTCTATGCTTCTAGATGGAGGAGAAGAAAAATTATTTAAAAATAAAATGAAATAAAACAAAAGCTTAGAAATCCAGTCTGACCATTGCTTGTCAGGCTGTGGTGAAAAGCAGCAGGATGAGAGCAACTGTGGTAGGAATGTGACTGTAACTGGGACACCTGTGCTAGCTGGGGGAGCGTGAACCCAGCAGCAGAACCAGCCACGACACCTGTTAAGACTCCTTCTGCTGAATAAAGGGTCAGAGACGTGTCTATGGTAATTCCTTACGCAGGAGATTTTGTTCAGAGCTGCAAAGCAGCATTGGTTAACTGGCAGTGAAAACAGGAATAATGGTCTCTCCTGCAGGTTGCTCTGTAACCATAGGCAATATGTCCAACTGCTTGCTTTCTCAACATCCCAGCTTTGGAAAAGCTTGTCAAAGAATCTGGTCCCTGGAGGCAAATAAGGCTTAAAGCAAAAGCTAGGTCCCCTGAACCCATAAGGAAATAAAAAAAACGCGTCATTGTCTTGCTCAGTCCCTGCCTCCTCTCCTGGTGGTGGAGAGGGGAGAGGGTGAAAGAGGAGGTTGGAAAGAAATAGTAGAGAAACTGAGTCTACTAAAAATATCACAGGGGGCAGCAGGGTAGAGGGCCAGCAGGAAGCCACGACCAGTCTGGCTGCATCTGCACCAGGCTGCCCACGCTGCCCTGGGCGAGCCCCAGCTGCCTCCAGGATGGACTTGGGAGCAGAGCCAGCGGTCAGCGTTTGGTGACGTGGGCTTAGGGCTCACCTTCACCCTTGAGCTGACTCCCAAGAATGTGAATGTACATACTAACCAGCTGGGAAAAGTAGCAGCCCTGGAGCTGCCATTCAACAAGCTAATAACTCTCTCTTTTTCTCCTTGCAGGTGCCCCCAGAGGTACGTAGCATGCGTTGGTGGTCAAGATGCAGAGTTGGGGCTGAATGGCCTTTGGGAAGAGGATTGTCCTTCACTGCAGGACAATACTGACTGTGTAGAGTCTAATGTTAGAGGTTGTTTATTCTGGAAGAGGGCTTGAGCCTGTGTTGTGTTTTCAGAGTGTCTTGGGTTGGGATAAGAGCTCTCTGTACTGCATAAACTCTCCAAAGCTGCTCTTCCACGGGTCTTCTCCCAGCCCAAACCCACACCTGCTCCCCCGGAGCACAGCTGCTTTTCTCAGGTTTGCGCAGACTTCGTGTTTGACACGCAACTCATATTCCAAGGAGGTGTTTATTTTCATTTCCCTAAGCACCGTCTTTATTGGTTTCTCTCTGTTTCTACCTGCAGGTAGCTAATAGCACACCCTGGAGATCAGAGGGGGGTGTGCCATGCGGTGATGTCTATGCAATACGAGGCCGGGCTGTAGATGCCTCTGAGCGGTTGCTCCTCAGGGGAACGAGTGAGGTTGAGCAAAATGCCCGGGTAACCTCATTACGGGGCTTGCTGTACCTGTGAGGGTGCACGCAAAGCAGCCGGGGCACCTCACGGCTCCTGAGGCTACGTTCAAACCAGCTGCTCTTACGTAAAATCGTGGTTTCATCAGGAAAGGAAATGGTGCGACCAGTTAATGAAATTTCTTACGTACCTTTTGAATGCTTTAGCAGTACTCGGTCGGCCGTTCAGTTCTCACCCTAGTGGTTCAAAAGCCTGATTTCCATAAAAGAGACTCTAGCTACAGTCCCGTGACTTTTTTTCCCCCCCGCCAAAGGTGGAATTTTATCTCCCACCACAGCGGCGGGTCTGACAGGTTTTGCATTCTTAAAAATCTGGGAGGACAGGAAGGGGCAGGTTTCTGAAGCGTGCACAGTTTCTGAGGTTTGCTTCTAGATCTGAGCCAGCCCACCTGTAAGACCCTGTGCAGAGCAGTTTCTTCTGGAAGATGTTACACTCCAAATATGCTTTTATCAGGCATAATGTTTATTTTATTTTCGGAGGCCCCCATAAGCAGAATCTCTGCCTTGAGGCAGCCTGGCCTCAAGGGCAGAGCTGAGCTGTGGTCCCCTGGTGGCACCAGCTCTGGAGACCAGAGGGACATGGGTCATAATCCACCTCATTTTAAAGAAAAATGGTCGGTGCAATAGTTTGCCAGATGTCTTCACAAACTGTTCATCAACTGCAAAACATAAGCATGACCTGAATGATTTATTGAGATATTCTGCAAAATATGCTTGCACTCACAGCTCAGGAGTACTGTGGTGGGATGTACTCAACCCCTGCATCTTCTCTCTTCTGGTTCTGTTGAATGGACATATTATTATTTTTTTTCCCATACATAGCTAATTGTCATATTTATTATATTTTTAATTTGTAAATGCAAATACATGCAAACTGTGGGTGTTTTTTCCTTCTTTCTTTGCTTTTCATAAGTTTTCTGGCCAGACGAATATTCATCTGAGCAAAAACTTTTTCCTGACCAACAAAGCAAGAGAAAAATCGAACACCTTCATCAACCTCAGAGAAGTGCGGAACCGGTTCAAGCTCCCTGCAGGAGAATACATCATCGTGCCGTCGACCTTCGAACCCAACAAGAATGGGGATTTCTGTCTGCGAGTCTTCTCTGAAAAAAATGCAAACTCCACGTACGTAGCTTTTTTGTAACCATGTAAGAGCGGTATGGGCACGCGGGTGGCCTCTGGTCCCTCTGACGGGTGTGGAAGGATGGAGCAGCCCAGGGCCTGGGGTACATCCCGCAGGGACTGTGAAGGGGGGGGATGCACGACTGCCCTGCGTGGATGGGGTGCCAGCAGTTCTTGTTTGTCTCCCAATTCCCCGTGTGCAACTGAGGAAAGTTTGAGTAAACTTAGCAGGAAGGAATGGTGATACGATAATAAAATAGTGTAACTATTACAAATTATTATTATAATTTGTCTGGGCAGACATTTTTAGTTATTGGGCTGTAGGCAGCTGGGTGGCACAGCTGAGGTTGGTCTGTGGAGGGGAGAGAGCCCCAGAGCGCGGCAGGCTGGGCTCTCCACTTGGGAGACAGAAATGCGCGTGCTTTCCGCTGTCTGGGAACAAACCGATTGCGACAATTGATACCACACCGTCGGGATCAGACTGGAAAAAAATTCAAGATACTTGCTCAACCAAATGATACCTTTGATAAAACTAAAACGGGTTTTAAAGGAACAGGCTCAAACCACACTGTGAAGCCCTGAACAAACATGAGACGTGTCCCATCTTAAAGAGAAGCGAGGCTAAGGCCTTGGGAAGGGGTGTGGGATCTTTCGTATCGAGTTCTGTAATTCAAATCAAGCAAAAACCTTCTTACTACTCTGTAATCTTTTGTTGCGTGTTTCTGCAGCAGTGAGAAAACTGGGATGTCAGTTGTATGAAGGCACGTACAGCTTTTGATGGGCCCTTAGCGGTGCTTGTGCACCGTCTGTGGGTGCGATGCTCTTACAGCAGCTGGGGGACAACATGAAACACTTCTCCCACTCTGGCACATCCGAATGACTTTGTCTTTCACTTTTGCTGTTCTAAAGGAAAAAAAGGAAAAAAGAATTATTAGGTAGAAGTTTGGTTTGCACCTGAGAGCCTGGTCCTGGGCTGAGGTCTGTAGGCAGTGGCACTAAGTGACCCAAAGGGTTATGTCTGGCCCAAAATCCTGTCTGTGACTCTGCAGGACGTTGCATAGTTTGTAATATGTTTTGAAATTCTTGTTGCCATAGCTGGCAGAACACTGCTTTCACTGACGATATGCAGTGTCTGTGGCTGATTTAATCCAGTAACGCCTGAGCTTTGAACACTCGTCATTATTCCCATAATTTAAAGAATTGCTTGAAGCAGGGCTATCAGAAAAGTGACTTGTTTTGAGTTCAATATTGATTTCTTTATTTTTCTAGGGTTATAGATGATGAAATTGAGGCCAATTTTGAAGAGGTATGTCTCAACTTAAATGTTTTAAATGGAGATAATTTTGTCATAAATAAGGGGGGTTGGAGTGCTCTGTTCCCTGTGCAGGGCAGTGTTTTGCTATAGGCATGATCAAGAACTGTTGTCCCACTTTTGGAAACAGATCTTTCAATATCCATAGTTAAATGTCCAACAAACGGAAACATCATAAGCAATAATGGAAACACGCGTTGTCCTTAATCCAGAGTGGTGAACTTGGGCTTTCCAGGTAGAGGAGATCAGGTATTCACTGCAGAGGTAACTGGAGCCATGGGAAATTCCCTGTGCTCTCCAGGAATCTGAGTGCTCTGTAGCTATAGGGGTGTTTTTGCATGCGATGTTGTTTCCATGAGTAAGTAGTGCCTCACCATATGCTTAGTCTTGCTGGAGATGTTTTGCCTACTAATGCGTCTACCACTCTGTGACTTGATTTTTTTTTTTCTTTTTTTTTTTTTCCAAGATGAGAACTTAGTTTTGCTCTCTTGTCTTTAAATGAAGACAGCTAGTCCAACAGTAGTAGTAGCAGCAGCAGCAACGATGAAGCTCTGAATTTGGGTGTGATTTTTTTTTTTTTTTTCATAAAATAAAGGATTTTTAAAAGTGGGGTTTGTTGTTTTTTTTTTTTTTTAGTAAAAGCCATTGCAAAAGTTCTTAATTCCTGCAGTGTTTGCAGTGCCAGTATTATGAGGCGCCTCTGAAAATAAAACTGAATAAAATCAAAGTAATAGCACTCTGTACCTTCAACTTTCCCATTTAAATTGTGTTTTACTAGGGGCAAGAAAATGCATTAAGTCCTTCTCAGGCAGAAAAGTTCCTCCCTTCCATATTCTCCGTTTCTTTCTTCTAGACCGAGATCAGTGAAGATGACATCGAACCCAGCTTTAAGAAGCTTTTTGGACAGCTAGCAGGAAGCGTGAGTATTTTTTTCTTTTTGGTTTTTTTTGAGGACTTACTGGTAGCATGGGTGAGTAGGTAAGAGAGGCGCGTCCCCCCAGCATGGAGTTTAATTCCTGTGCTGAGTCAGATCTTGAGCATGTGCATAATTGTGCATGCAAAAATCTGTGTAGTTACCAGTCTGCTTACACAACGGATTTGGGAGTGCTGCTGGCAAACAATCTGCTTTCTCTTTGAACTGCAGGTTTGACTTTTATCTCTGCAGGTCCCTAATTCTGTCCTTTGGGCAGAGCATTTGTTGTGGGCGCATGGGTTCCTCCGGGAGGTGATGAGGATTGGGCTGTACCTTCTCCCCACGTTGCTCTCGCCTGCCCCAGGGCTCAAGCAAACCCCGGGGCCCTGTCTGCTAACACACAGGGCAAGGCTGTGCTACTGGGACTTGCTGGTGCTCCAGGTGGCAGGGAGAGCTTACCACTTGTGCATCCATCCAAGGAAAACTTGAACTCCAAGGGATGTCTCCCAAAGCAGTCAGAGGCTGCTCATGAGATGGTGTCTGCAGCTCACAGAGAAAAACCTGTTTTCCTCTTTTCCGCAGGATGCAGAGATCTCCGCCTTTGAACTGCGAAACATCTTGAATAAAATCATGGCTAAACGTAAGTACTTTCCTCCAGCTGTGGCTTCAGCTGGCCACCAGCAGGTTTCCAGCACGACCATGGGAGCACAGAGCGCACCACTGACCTGGGCAGCGTCAAAGCCCCGGGCTCTGCCCCAGACCTGCCATGTGGCTCTCCCTGTGGCCACCGCCACGTGTTCTGTTCCTTCACGGGGCTGCAGAAGCACCAGGGCTGTGCACACAGGATGCGTGCTTTGGCAGGGCACGTATAGGTGCTTTTTATCCCAGCATCTGCCACTGGGAATTGGCTGCCAGGAAGATGGACAGATTTGATTAATGCTTGATAACAATCAAGAGAAGGCATTGCTGCTACTTTAGTATGGAGTCACTTGGGATTCAAACAGTAGCCCAGCCAATGGTCTGAGGTGTCCCAGAGGGGAGGAGGAGACACTTTGAAACTCTGGGCTGCTTTTTCTGTGAAGTGATTCAGAGCTTGGCTCCGCATTCTTTTCCTTTCCATTAAACAGTGCTTGAGAAATAAGTGTCTCTTTAATTTCCAAAGTGAAGTCTTAGCCAGGTAGCCAGAACTGTGTTGTATATCTGTGTGCAGCAGCCAGTTAGCAATGGCGTATTGCTGGTTACCAAGCTTGATTTGATGTTCTTCCCTTGCATGAAGCCCACATGGTCCACAAAAGCCCACCCTTATCTTTGCAGGCAGACAATAAGGACAGGAAAGCTTTCTCTCTGCCTCTTGCTTCTGTAGCACACCTACAAACCAGACTAACTGGGCTGTTTGCTTGGGGAAACATCACAGCTAACTTTCACCCTTCGTCTCTTCATCAGAAAATCAAAGAGGGCTGCTTATCAGTATCCATTTGCCTGCTTCAGTGCTGCATCTCTCTTATGCAAAACAAGGACCATCCTATGACCATTTGCCAAGAGCTGTGTAATTCATGCTCGTGTGTCCTCCCACCTTAAGCTCTTCCTCGCTGGCAGGTCCTGACCCCACTGACCACACCTCTAAGTGAGCAGTGCCTCCTGCTCTGCCGGATGCAAAGGAGTTGTCAGAGGTCATAAGTTGCCTCGGAGGAGGTACCTCAGCAACATCAGGCAATGGTTCCCCATCCAGCGTTTGAGGGAACTGCAGGATTATCTGTACGCAGGTATCCTGACTACAGCTCTACAGGCACCACACCCTCCACTGTCAGCACTGCATTAGGTACTTGGAAAATTCCAAAGGTTTAGGATGACAATTAACAATTCCCAGAACAGGAGGGAGGCATCCCCTGCTGCTCGCTCTTCCGGCCCAGACTGTGGCAGTGACACAGCTCTCAACCTATTGCCAGGGGAGGATTTGAAGTAGGCAGCGGATGGCCATTGAGTAACTAGTAGGTGTCTATCACAAACAAGGTAGAGCACTAAGCATGTGTTACATAGAAGCAAAAAAAAAAAAACAAACCCACACCAAAATGAAAAGGTCATCTTGCCAATTGCAGAGGAAGCCACCAATGACACAGAAACAAATAAGGGCTGAGGCGTATACGCTGGTTACATAGCTCCCGGGTGATTTAGGAAGGTGCTGTGGTACAGCGTGCAATGATAATCCTGTCTTTTGCTCTTTCTTGACAGGCCAAGATATTAAATCTGATGGCTTTAGTATTGAGACATGCAAAATAATGGTTGACCTGTTAGATGTATCCTTTAAGGCTGTTCCTGGATGATTGGCAGTGACACAGCTGGACACCTATTGCCAGGGGAGGATTTGAAGTAGGCAGCGGATGGCCATTGAGTAACTAGTAGGTGTCTATCACAAACAAGGTAGAGCACTAAGCATGTGTTACATAGAAGCAAAAAAAAAAAAACAAACCCACACCAAAATGAAAAGGTCATCTTGCCAATTGCAGAGGAAGCCACCAATGACACAGAAACAAATAAGGGCTGAGGCGTATACACTGGTTACAGAGCTCCCGGGTGATTTAGGAAGGTGCTGTGGTACAGCGTGCAATGATAATCCTGTCTTTTGCTCTTTCTTGACAGGCCAAGATATTAAATCTGATGGCTTTAGTATTGAGACATGCAAAATAATGGTTGACCTGTTAGATGTATCCTTTAAGGCTGTTCCTGGATGATGTTCTTCTGCCTGTGCTGGAGCAGGTGAGCTGCTGCCTGTGCAGTGAGGGGTCCATACTGATGTGCTAGTGACTCCTGAGGTGGAGAAGCTGCTTTTACCCTGAATAAAGATGGTAGCCCTTGCTATTGCTGCTGACCGTGGCACATGAATTCTCCCAGGCAGTGGGGAAGATCCATTTCAGACATGACGATCTGCTTTGAAGTGTTTCTGGCTGTTGGATGTTCTGGTTTAGCTGGGGACAAAGCGATATTTGTGCTGGGAAAAGGCACTTGGCTCTTGGCACGGTGTGGATTGCCCTGGCTGATAGAGTTTGAACGCACGCATCTGGGGGCATGTCACTGCTCTGTTATCTGGCTGGAGTTGGTACAGGCATTGTGAAGCCTTGAGGACTTGGCAAACAGAAGATGAGGGAAACAAATACAGGAACCAGAGACTATGCTGGATTTTAGGAGCTTTTACTCCTAAGAATAAAAGTGTAGGATGAAGGATTTAAGTCTAAGAATAGTTGTGTTCAGCTTCTCTCTGCAGTGGGCGTTGAATTGCATAGGCAGAAAAAAGGGAAAATTACCAAAACAGAGTGGTGCTCTGCTATAATTTGGTGTAAAATATGGCAGGCGGTAGGGACTCCTTAGTGGTTTTTGGGAGCAATGCCATGACCAGGTTCTTTTGTTAGCTGTTTGTGCAAGAACTTAAATTCTCCAAATAGCAGGCTTGGTTGTGGCTTTTTCTGTTTATAATGCAGACTTAGGGCTCATGCTGCTATAACTGCAGGTGTTGAACCAATGATGCAGAACAAAATTGCATTATCTCGGCTGTTTTGAAAAGAGAGAGAGTTGCCAAAGCAGGAGCAGAAGAGCTTGTGAACTGATCACAGTTTAAATGCATCGATCACCTTGTTGATTTAGAAAGACATCTCAGACAACAATTGTGTATTCAACAGGGCGAGTCCTTCAGAGAGGACTTGCATCCTTTTCTTAATTGCAATCTTTTTACTAAGTCACAACTGCCCACGTAAATAAACCCAGCACAGGGAGAGGAAACCCTTTTCCTTTCTTCCAAAGAGCTTACCTTAACTCAAAGAAGAATGACGGGAGTGGTAAACTGGGACTGAAGGAATTCCACACCCTCTGGACAAAGATTCAGAAATACCAGGTAAGACGCAGCCTTTTTGGGTGAACGTGCAATCAAATGTAGAGGTGGCTGTAGACTAGTTTGCCTCAGACAACGTGTACAATCACTGCCTAAAGCAGCAACTCCTGCTTCAGCTCATGATGCGTTTCTGTCCTTGGAGCCCCAGTGTGAGTTTAACGTCAGTATTGCTGCTTGCTTTAGTAGCGATAGTGCCGTTTTGCACAGGCGTTCAAGGAGTTCCCCAAAGTCTTTATCTGGCTCTGGCTGCTGCACTAAAAATACTTTCCAAAGCTGCTTTTAGATGAACCTGGGGATAAGTACCTAGTCCTTCAGACCTATGTTGCAAACACTCCTAAGGAATGTGCAGGCTGCATTTCGAAATGTTTGACTTCTGACGAAAGCCAAACCATGCTCTGAGTTATTGACAAGTTTTAACTTTGGGGTTTGTGTTCCGCAGAAAATTTACAGAGAAATTGATGTGGATCGATCTGGTACCATGAATTCATATGAGATGAGGAGAGCGCTGGAAAGAGCAGGTATTGGTAGTGGTCTGGCTCTTTTTAGGATTATATCAGTTTCAAGGTGGGTTGATAGATGCTCACTAGTCTCCTGTGTGTCACTTGTAAGCTGCAAAATCCTGTGTTCCCAGACCTGATGAAAGGCCTCCGTTTAATCCAGATGCTCAGCCTGGGCTTTTGTCTTTCTGTAGCAGTGTCTTGCCATGCAGGCACACTAAAAGCATCTCAAAGGAGTGATAGGTTTGCAGTTATTTTCTTTGGTGACCAGCTTTTGAAGCACATATAACTGCTACAATCTGGTCTTGTGACAGCGTACTGTCATCGTCAATGAGTCTCTCTGGGTAAATGTGGGTTTGGCATAAGCCTGTGAAAAGAGGGATGCTGTGACCCAGGGAATGGAAGTGGCTTGACCAAGGGGTGATGCTCAGAAGAGAGCTAAATGAAGAGTCAGTTTGCTACTGCAACCACTGAAAAGCGAGTAGCTGAGTTATGACAGTGATCACAGAGCCATATGATCTCCAGTTAACTTACTGCTCTTCTGGGGCCACCTTAATGGTGGCGTTCGTGCTCTCTGGAGCTTCCCCCTTCTGTCACCGCGTAAGATGAGGTAGCATTTCTTTTTGCCCCAAATTTTAGGTGCTCTGTGGAAATATAGGCCCATTTGCCCACAGAAAGCCACTGCTTCATCTCAGGTCTCAGGGGCCCAAGTCTGGCAGCCACCTCATCGCCCAGGGAAGGACCACGAGCTGGAGCAATTGGCTGTGTCCCCTGGGAAACGGGAGTACACGTGTGGGACTAGTCACAGCTCTAAATCACTCCAAGTACAGAAGGGCTGGGTGGGAGTTCCCAAAATGGACTAAATACTCTTTACTTTTGATTAAATTCACAAATTTTGCTACTTGAATTTCTGGCAGTGTGTAAGGTTGGGGTTCTTTGTTGGTTGCAGCTTTTTGCATTGTTTTTCTTCTATTTTGAATCCTTGACATTGCATCTTTAGGGTTCAAATTGAACTGCCAGTTACATCAAGTCATTGTGGCTCGTTTTGCTGATGAAGACCTCATCATTGACTTTGATAACTTTGTCCGGTGTTTGATTCGGCTGGAAACGTTGTTCAGTGAGTACATGCTTAATAACCAGACAGACTCTGTTGCTTTGTGTTTTCAAGTCCAGGATAAGTTATTCAGAAAACTTTTGTACTGGAACCAAAGCAACTTCAAAGCCGAGCTATAAATCCGGCAAACCCAGTCTGCGCGTTCCTCCTAAGTCTAGGAATAATCAGCCTTTTAGGCCAGGCTGCTGAACTGGAGCCAGTCAGTCTTTCATGGAAACAACTAAATGTTGATTTAAAACCAAAAATCAAGCTAAGTGCTTATATATTGACAGCTATTTAAAATGTTCAGTCTCGTTCTTGCACATGAGCATGCAATGACTTTAGTGTGGCCCTTCTGGTTTGGGATGTAGACTGTTGTTGAATTTTAGACTCTGGGACTAAATTCCTTTTTGATCCTGAAGCGTGAGAAAGGGGAAGGCTTTCCCATCAGTACCTATACTCATCTTTGTCTGTCATCTCTCTCCTACCACAGAAATGTTTAGAAAACTGGATACTGAGAAAACTGGAACAATAGAATTGAACCTTGTTAATGTAAGTTCATTTAGCTCTAAAACATTTGTTTTGTCTTTTTTTTTTGCGGGGGGGGGGAGGGTTTAACAGTAGAGACTGTCCTGCTCCATTCTGACTGCTTATGGCTGCTTATATGTATTTACATATGCTGGATTTGTATAGCTTGTGTGTTTATAAGCAGCCTTAAGAAAGGTTATCCTTTTTTTAAGATGTACCTACATCACATTGTATTGTCTAACAGACAACATTACTGGAATCTGATGTCACTCATCCCTTACTGGCAGTAATTTTGGCTGATATGTATGCAGGCTTCTTCCCTGCCATTTTTGTCAACAACGGGGTAAAATATAGGTGCAGTAATGACTCATGGTATTGACCATGTCTGCCCTGCAGAAAGGACTAAGTTAGGAGAAAACTCCCCTCCTACACATGTTCGACTTGCTTATTACCTGAACTCAGCTTATTTCTGGACTTAAATGAGGAATGTGCAAATCATCCCAAAACTCTTCTGACTTAGATGAGATATAAATTTAAATTGTTCAGGAAAGATCCTAAAATTACTTCTGTAACAATAGACCTTCCTCATCAGGCTAGAAATGGGAACGTACATACTTGCTACAGGTGTTCTTACTAAACTTAACCTTGGCCCATTTTCCTCTCCTCCTTTCTCTTGTTATAGTGGCTGTGCTTTACTGTCATTTGAGCCGCTGGCATCAGCTCAAGCCACCTCAAAAAGAGCAAGACCAGGTGAAGATAATCAAGCAATCATACAAGTAATATTCTAACATGGATGTGCCTTAACTTATGCATGGCAAATTTTGCACACAGTTCTAAGAAGGAAAGCAGTCTACTTCAACAGAAGACTCTGCAACCTCATTTTTATGGGTCTGACAGGCTTTATCTACTACTATATATCCTCTGTACAAAAGCTTTGATTTAGTATAAATCCTCAGTACAACTTTTAAAAATATGGCTTTGCTAATAGCTTTGTATTTAAGGTGTTTTACATGACTTCTGGCAGAAAGCTCATTATAGCTTGACAGTTTGGTTTAATAAGTGCATTTTGAATAACAGCTCCACTCCATTCTGGGTAACTGAAACTGTAAAAGGGATGGTATTGCATATCCCTAAATACAGTCCCTTGTGTGCTTTCTGTCAAGCCCCAGCATTGTTCTGGTTAAATAGGTTTTTTTTTGAAGACTTTGATTAGCAAGTACATGTTTGACCAAACTGAAGGCGAGTCTTCCCATTCTGGCCCTTGATGTGCCTCTGGCAAGAGGCTGTGATAACCAGACTCTCCCAAGAGAAAGCCCATGCTCTCAGGTGGAATCTTGATTTCCGGAATCTTATTTATCTTCCTTTGAAACATAAGAAAGCATTTAAATAAAAACAGTAGAAATAAAGTTTGCAAGACTGTTAATTCCTTCCATTTTTTCTTAGAGATAGATCATCACAGAGCATATGTAGAGCTTTCAGTGTCAGGAACAGAGTATGTTGCCTTTTAAAGGGGAAAAACAGCATTCTGGAGCTGATGGGGACTGATGGAAACCCTGGATGTGCTAATGAAATGCTAGATAGTCTGATACTTTAAAAGATTAATGCTTGAAAAGCTAAAGGCTTCCAAGAAAGGTGACTGATACTATATATCCCATACACCCAACCTATTAAAATGATGAGGCTGTGAACATGAGCAGATTGCTGCTTCCAGGAGTTCTTACTACTGCTGACGTAAGTTTACCCACCTGAGGAATTGTGTCCTCCTTCCTACAAATAATTTCCTGGATTTACGGGCACCTTTTCAGAAAGCAGTAAGGACTTACCTAGTAGGAAAACATAAGCCTGAAGGGTGAGGCACTTCACAAATACCCTTAAGGAAAGAGTTGATCCTCACTATTTAATAGTGTTCATTGTCAGATGATTATTCCCAAATTGATAGATATAAAAAGATAATTCTATGGGAAAGGCTTTGTTTGGACAAAACTTGTACCGAGTTTTTTTCTGAAGTATGTCCCTTAGCTTTTACGGTTAACAAAGGTTATATGCAACTAACAGATTTGGGTTAATTTTAAGTGCAGAAAGACTCTTGAACAAACTGGGGGGGAAGGGTTCAATTTAATACAGAAAGTAGATGAATGTTAACATAATGTAGAACTGCAGTGTGTCTCACTGTTAACATTTTCAGATGGTCTAATAAAAACTTTACACTAAAAAATACCCAGAGTTAAACCCGAAGAGGAGACAAAAAAGTTTAATGGTATCACAGTCAAGTAAAAACAAGTAAGTTGTCAAGGACTATGGAAAGTTTCTACGCTTAGTTTTCAAAGTACAAAATACAATAAATACATGAGGCTCTGTAAAAAGAGGAATCTAAAACTACATTGTCTGTTACAGCACATAATATTTTGGATACATGGAATTCCTAAGATGCTACAACATTTTTTAAAGTTATTGCTTAACTATCATGTGGTTGTCACTGTTCAGATGCACTTCGATTTAGCTTCTTTAACAAACGTTCTGCTTCCAGCAGTAAGCATTTGGGTGCTGTGCACGTAATTTATTTTAGTTTCTCCCATCTGGAAAAAGCCTCGGGGTAAGTTTGGACAAAGCCAAAATGTCTGTTTCATGATGATTCCCTTCAGTTGTAAATTGAAAAGGTCCTTGGATTTAATGCAGAAAAATGTGAAATTCCTTTCTGCCACTTTTGAAGAAATCAGAGTGGGTACTTGAACATAATGGCTTGCTTAGACCAAAGGCAGCAGAATTTCATTTGCTTGTAAGCATTATTTCATCTTGTAGAATGCCCTCATCCATTTGCTAATGCATCAATCCTTCATTTGTTTTCAAAGCACATTCTTCATAGCTTTCAAATTACATTGTCATTGAAATAAGTCTCATGATATTGGAACCAACACAAAATGAATTTTTTTTTTGTAAGTCATCCGTGATTAGTACTTCAAGAATCTGGCTTCTGTACTATTTCATGCCAAGCTTCTTTGTCTAGGTTTAATCCTTGGATACAGCTGAGGGTAAAACAGAAATGAGATTTAAAATTTTAGTGCTTTAAAAGGTTACTTTTTTTTTTTTAAAGGAAAGAAAAACCTCTCTTTGATGCTACAATTCTAATGTAATCTCTAATAGCAAAAGCATGGTTATAAAACACACCCAGAGCACTAACAAATATAAATTTAGCATTCTTAGGCAAGTTTAAAAAATACTAACCATGACAGTACAAAAAGAAGGCATTGTAAAGCACATAATTCAGTACCTTCAGCTCTACCCAGATGGGTGGGCTACAAAAAGCATGTGGCTTTGTAAGTCAAGAGACTTTTGTGTTTAGTGAACTGTGGGATTTTTCCCTGTTTTATAAAGGAAATGGAGAGGTATTAAAGTCTGTTTTGCCTTTTCTCTCTCAATGCCTATCAGCCTTTACAGATCTATAGCTTTGGGCAAGCTGGAAACATATGGCTGCATAAGGACCGTGGAATTGTAGGAGCTGTGTTTTAGTGGATAGTGGGTGGCCAGTTAAATTCATTTAACTGGCCAGCAGTAAATCAGTAGCTGCCACACTCTGGCCCTTGAACTGTGTGCTATTCACACATTGTGGCTACACACACAGAGGTACAGCGACTGCCTCAGATGCAGGGTGACAATTGATGGGACACAGCTCACCACAGCAATGCTGAGATGCTTGGGAAGTTCTTGGCTCCCACTTGAAAAGGGCTCTGGGAACAACTCCTGTTCTGCAAAGCATGACTACTGGCATATAAAAAAATAGAAGGATACATTTCAAACAATTAGGAAAGATGAATCCTCCACGCTCTGAATTCCACTGCATGTCTACACCACATCCTGGGTTTTTTTCAGCTAAGTTCTCCTTAAAGATACCCTCTTTTCTCTTCAGCCAGTTTCTGGCTTTTTCTTCTTTTTCATGGTCAGCTAATGATAAAGAGAAGACCAACAACTTCACCCACAAGGTTCGTCTCAGCCTGCTATGACTTCACCACTAGCAAAGATGAAGTCAGTCAGTCAGTCACAGTAGCGTAACACCTGATAGTGTTCAAAAGATGTTGTTTGGAATGAAGAAGTCAGTCTTTTGACAGTATTATTTCGTTTGCATTCAGTTTTAGAGCTCTCGCACAGCTTAGGGAGCTAGTGAGTCACTAAGAAGGGTTGAGCGCTTTTGCAGATAATTTCATCCTTGTTTCTATTCAGTGCACCTAACTGCAAAAGGATAAAGCAGCTGTGATAAAAATACAACTTACTTAATATAAGAATGTATCAAACTACCAAATGTTTTCCTCTGTGCTGAATATCTTATCCCAGATTTCAGCTGCTATATTAAGAGTCCAGTAATTGCTTTTGAGAATAACCAGAGAATCCTTCGATAACAGTACTAGCACAACTGAACACACACAAGAGTGTAACTTGGGTAGTTTTCTCCAAAGGTTCTGTTCGGATGGTGTTGTGCTTAGAAGGATGAGTCGTGATCCCCAGTCTACACTGGATTGCCTTGTGCTTTTTATTACAGAAGCACAGATGCTCCTTGTGTTCTTACACACCTGTGCTCAGGCCGAGTGCACAAGCTTATGAAGAAGTAGCACGTGCACAATTCACCCTGGGGCACGGAAAAAAAAAAAGAAAAGCTGCTATTTCTGACCTTTCTTGACCTTGTTTTGCAGGCCTGATGGCTGCTCTCAATTTAGAAATGCTTACATTTGGAAGGGGAAAAAAAACAAGCAGCAGTACTACATTAGGGATAGATAGTACTATGTTTTACGTGACATTGTGGGTAGGCCTGACCTGAAAGTGATGCAGAAATGAAAACTGATTTTGCATTAGGTATAGTTACTCCACAAAAAATCTAACCAGTTTAACAGTAAGGATTATCTGCATGAGGAAGGAGGTTCAGCCTCTTTCAAGCATCATACATCAATCAGCTAAAATTCACAGCAGTTAATCTTTAGCATTGGCAGAACCTCTTATCTCCAGCAGCAGGGCAAGAGGATATGTAGAAAAAAGCTTAATAGAATTTTTATATGTGTGTCCATCTGCCATAGTTTACTAACAACTCAGCCATGAGGAGAAGCATTGGGGACATAATTGAAAATATCTATTATTTGTATACGGTTGCTTTTAATAAAAGAGGCAATACAGAAGATGATGATGAGAAGCCGTTAATGTAAGGCCTTTGACATATGATTAAATATTACTTAAAAAGAACATAGGAGAAAACAAAGATCTGCCTTTATTTGGCAATGTGATCTCTCTTTCAACACTAGAAAAAAAAAAAAAAACAAACGTAGAATTTTGCAGTGTTTCTCTTAAAACTCTGTGAAACCATCTCAAATCACAAGGTGCACTGTGTAGACCCAGACAGGGAAAGACTTACGACTCATTCTTCATACAACTTTCTGTTCTTAAGGCCCTTTGTGCCAGTGTATCACTTTCTATAAGAGGGGAAACCCAGTTCTGTTCACACGCTGAGCAAAATCTTATGCACACGTCATGTTCAGGTAAAAGCTTTTTTTTTTTTTTTCCTCTAAGATGGTGAGACAAGCTTAGTATTAGAACCTGCTATGTATAGCAGGGTGGCGATATATGTTCTTTTATGTACCCATTAATGTAATCTGTGTTAGGTATCTAAACAGAGGGTGTTAACCCACTCTCTATTAAGGTATTCAACTTCCCAGATGAATAAATGGAGAATGCCAACTCCCTCCTCTTGACTTTTGAAACGGCACCTAACTTAGACCCATGAGAATAATGCTGTGCA